ATACGAAGAAAAGAAAAAGAGAAGAAAGGTGAAAACGATGTCGTTTTGAGAGCATCAAAACAATGTCATTTGGTGACAAAAAAAAGGGGAGTTGTAGAGGGACGAACACACCTCTACAAGAAGAAGAGGAGGAGGAGGCGTACACACTTCTGAAACTTGCCAGAGAAGGAGGAGGCGAAGTAGAGGAATCTTCTTGTTCCTGTTTATAAGAGGAAGACAGAGGTGGGAGAGAGAGGGGGATTGGGTAGAGAGAGAGAGAGAGAGAGGGAGAGAGATAGATAAATAGATAGATAGATAGATAGATAGATAGATAGAGGGGGGAAAGGAAGGAAAAAAAGGAGAAGATTGCAGTGGCGGCGGCACACCCAGATCATTCCTGATTTACGGCAAAGCAAGAATAGGGAGAGAGGAAGAGGAGCTGCGCACAGCGGAGTAACGCGTGAGAAGAAGATTGGAGCGCGACGGTCAAAGTGCAGTTTTAAGCATCCGCACCTTTCTTCGGAGCAATTCTACCATATCAAGGCCAGATCTGTGTGCACGGCTCGTTCTGTGATGGTTTCCAGTTGAAGCATGACAACGCATGGGTGGTTATGGTGGCACGTGCTGGTTCTGGCGGCGGCACGTGGCGGTCCGGTGGCAGCGCATGTGGAGGCGCGCGAACTTTCAGTGGTTGCACACAGTGAGTCATAAGAATCCGGTTCGGGTAGGTGAGTTCGAAAACCCTGATGGTTTATTGTTTTAGATTTAGAATTAATTAATATTATTTAATTTTAATGAAAATAAATTATTTATTCAGTTTAGAATTAAAAATAAGCCTAGACATGAGTGTTTGAAATTAGGGGAGAACAAATTCATTACAACCCGATATGGATATCACTATAACAAGTTGATCTTATAAATTAGAAATAATTTCACAAACGAGATTTAAACAAAAATTAGGTAAGTGCGTAAGCGCTTAGAAATATAATTTAATATTTTTAAGATATTAAACTATGATGTTTAATAATTGATAACTAGACATAGGATTCCAACGGAATTTTACTATTTATGTTTACTACTAAAATTGCTGATGAATTATTTTACTATGTTTTGATGATCGAATTCGTATATGTACTGGTTGCTATGTAATTTGGAGTATATTAGGAATATAAGAGTGATGAATATAATTACAATATCTGTGTTATAGGTATAGAATATATTAAATAATAAAAATTAAAAAATTTATTAGTGAGTTGAAATAAATAGATAGACATAAAAAGATTTAAAAAATTCATATAACTAGTATCACCGAGGGGTAGGTATGTATGTAGTCTTTTGGGGTGTGACTGTGGTGAACCCTACCCGTGGATATATTTTTAGCCAAACGAGGTGAAGCGATAAGAATTATGAACTGTATTTTATATACTGCAAACTGTGAACTGTAAACTGAATTGTGACGTATTCACGTGGTAGATGAGATCCTTACTACTCTCGTTGATACCGGCAAAAATGACATCGCACAGTAAAATTATTTTAATAGGATATAAACCGATATGAATGAATAGTAAATCATGTATAATAATTATGATACTGAAATACTGAATTAATATATACTGAAATGTTTATTGTCTAAATTATAGTACTGAATATTGAATTATATTATTTATTGAACTGTTTATACCATGAGTTCTAATACTGAAATAATAAATTTTGAATGTTTATTGAATAAACTGATTTATAAGATTTGGATAATAAATTAGGGTGCAGATACTACGTATTTTCTGAATTGAAGAGAAAAATATTTTGAACAATCTCCGTCGGTTGTTTTATGTTTTCTACCAACTTGGAGAGATTATCTTATTATTTGTTGGTACGTACATGCTTACTGAGCATATTAAGCTTACCCTACTTATTATTCATTTCTTCCAGATCAAGATATTCAGAATCCCGCTCATGAACAGTGAAAGACTTGGTAGGAGATCATCTAATCTTTATTTTAATTCGAATAGTACTTAATGTTAATTATTTAATTTTTAGTGAATATTTATTTTAAAGTTTAGACATGTCTAATAAATAATGAATATTTTGAGTTAGTATAAAACGGATGTACTTTTTATTATTTTAAAATTTTTTGTATAAAGTTTTTTTATAGATTATTTTATCACGAAATTGTGGGCATTCGGTCAAGATACTGGATGAGAATTAGGACAGTTATATTATATATTGTATGGACAAAAGATAAACTTTCTTATAGTTTCCTCTCATTTCCCAAGTTCAACCTCTCTTTTCTTCTTTTCATACACACACTAAAGAGTTTTAGCTTCATTCTTTTCTTTTTTTGCTTTCCAAAACTTTTTTGTTAAAATACTACAAACAGATATTTTATCATCGATAATTACATATACGTAGTGTATATCTATATATAGACGTCCGAAGCAAAAGTTGCTCCTACTTTTGGGTCTTTTGCCCAAGAGAAAAATACTTTAATTTTGAGTCTCTTGCTTAAAATAAAATGTTTTATAATTTTGGATTTTTTAACCGAAAAGAAAAATAACCAAATTTTGGGTCTTTTGACATTAAATAAATAAACTACGATTTTGTGCCACTAAATGCCTAAAATAAAATGTCGTATAATTTTCAGTATTTTTCTAATTTATTTCCCAGAATGAAATGGTCTCTAATTTTTTAGTCATTTTCCTAAAAGAAATAAATCTCTAATTTTGGGTGTTTTGCCCCCCACGTTAATAGATTGGATTCTCTTACCCTAAAATCTAAAAATGAAAGCCTGAAATTGGACCTTAAATTTTAAAATCCACCAAGACTAAATCTGAATTTCATTCAAGTAACCCTAAAGGCATAAAACAATCCTTTGGATTCTTTCAAAACTTTTATAATCATACGGATGAAAATATATCGAATTATTGTATAACTTTTTTATAATTAGTTACATACTCGTAAGAATAAAATTATTCTTTTTTAACTTATAAAACATATGAAGAAACTTAGATATGACGTGAAATCTTTTCAATCTTTCCTAATATGAATTCGAAGTCCAAAATATGTTGAATGTTTTTGAAGCGTGTGGATGATTAAGAATGATATAACATTTTCCTTTTTTTTTTTTTTTTTTTGGTTTTTTGGACGACTTAGTTTGAATTCACTATTCATTTTACTTTTTATAGTAATTTTTGTTAAATTTAATAAAAATTATTAAATAGAAAACTAAGCAGATAGAAAATTATAAATAAATAAAAAAAATTGTATTTTTCATTTTAATATTCTAAAAATTTGATTCTAATTTAAAGTTATAGTATAAGTGAAGAAATTAATATAAAATTAAATCTTTAAGTTTCCATTTGACTGCGTTTGAAAAGTATTTAATGTGTAAAAGTAGAAGCACTCAAAAACCAAAATATATTTTACATATATTTAAGTAAAAAAATTAAAAATACTATTTTTATTTTTATTTTTATATAAATAAAAAAATTTTGTTCCAAAATTACACTTACATATTTGTCTGATTTTTTCTTTCATTCATTCGTTGATACCACCACCAACTGTCCTCCATCATCCATCGCCAACCGCTGTCACCCACCATCAGCTGGTTGTCCTCTACTACTAATTAGCAGTCACTAGCCACCTTTTTCGATCCCCCGCCGACTACTTGTTGCCCACTCTTTGACACTCGCCCTTCATCACCCGTCACTTGTTGCTCGCCATTTCCCACTAGCTTATATAGGTAATTAAACATTCAAATAATAGTTTGAATTAATTTTTTCCATTAACTTTTTAAAGTGATTATATATATTTTTTATTAATTATTTAATAGTTTATGATAAGAATGTTTTTAATTAATTTAAACTCATAATAAAAGTGTCAAAAGTAGTCTAAGTAAAAGTATAACTTCCTTTATGTGATTTACAGGTGTTTGGAGTTGCTAAAAAAATGTGTCTAAAGCACTAAATGCTAACTACAAAAAAAAATAAACAGTTGAGTATTTGAATATATTGTTGATTGCAAGAAATAACATATATATATTTGTTAAGTATATTGTATAAAGTTATTATTATATAATAAAAAATATACATATTTCAGTGAAAACTATTTTTTAGTATTGACCGCAAACGCTCACGCTCTCACCCTCCTACTTTTTAAAGGAGTAAGAATGTTTGTTTTATATAACCCGCAACACAAGGAGATATGGCGGGCGGTTAGTTGACTCCAAATTATTGCAGCACTTGACACTTTTCAGTTTGAACAGCCATAAATTTTACTACCTCACTCATTATTATTTTATCATTTTCACATGGGTATACAATTATTTTATCATTTATTAACTTATACCAACCGATTTTTCTTTTTATATATATATATATATATACACAGCCGTAAAGAAATATATATGTAACATATACACATATTCATCTAGAATTTTTCTCAACCAATCAACTCAACCCTATGATCACATGTACTGAAAAAAAAAAAAAAAAAAAAAGATGCATAATAATACTTTATCTATACCCACCACGAGATTAACCCATATAAACTCAATTATCACATTAAAATTGCAGCAAAGGACTAAGGATTGCTCCCCCTCCGCCATTAATGAACCACATCTAGCTTCACTGTACAAATTGCATCAACTTCCTATATGCATATACTAACTACTCTCTGAATCCAAATTGATTTACTTCCACAACAACTCCATTCTATTCTTTAATCAACAAAAACTTCTAATGTTATATTGTTCATAAACTGCTACTCACAGCAAGAAATCCATGAATTTCAACCAGCCTAACCCATTTCTCGCCGCGGTCTCTGCCTGCTTCGAACACCGCTTGGAATCAGACGACGTCGTTACGCTCCCACCATCCTTTTCTGTCTTTTTCTGGCAAAGAAAGAAGTTCCTCGATCCTAACGAAATTAGCTTCTCCTCCCTTTCCAAACCTGAATCCACATCCACAAATCCATCAATCACCACCGATTAACTAAAAAAATATTCATTTAATCGCAGCGGAGACTTACTTTCTAAGCTAAATTTGGAGTAATGGAGGTCGACCACCAATTAACTAAACAATATTCATTTAATCGCAGCGGAGACTTACTTTCTAAGCTAAATTGGGAGTAATGGAGGTCGAAGCGCGACGCGTCGCTGGACGGCAACAATGGTCGGCGGCCTTCCTTGACATATTGACGGACTGCGGCGGTCACCAAGTCGCCGACGGTATTCTCCGGCGCCATCACCACCTGGACCGGTCCCAGGCTCCCCTGGATCGTCACGTTTAGAAGCAGCTTCGTGAGACGAGGCGGCGTTGTTGTAACCGCCGCTCCAGCGAATACCTTGCCAGAAGAAAGCAAGTCCGGAACAGTCTTTGGTCGCCGGAGGTCGGAGGACGGCGGATGAACCGAAGCTCTTCCATGAAACGACGATGCTTTCTCCGCTAACCTTCCCCTCCGATTCTTCTCCGACTCGTGCGCCCCTCTCTTGTTGGCTTTAGTATTAGGCATACTGTAAATACCGTGTATAGTATCTGTTTTTTTAATTTTATTTTTGTTTGTTCTTTTACCTCAACCGCCGTTATCGGAAGAATCTGAGACTGGAGAAGCCGAGAGCTGGAAATGTCCGGCGGCGGCTCTCCGGTGTCCGGCACCGGCGAGCTATCATAACCAGAGTGGCTTAACCGTATATAACAACCAACACCTAGGGCATAGCCGCACACATAAAAGTATGGAATTCCACAGACAACGCAATTTATACTGTGAGTGACTGGCTCTAGCCAGTTTCAGACGGTCAATTTGAAAGGTCACCGGAAATTACCGGTGAATCCGACGTGTCAAAATATGCTACAATGCGCCGCGAGTGTAAAGTGGTAGGAGTCGTGGCGGAAGACTCTGTGGTCCAAGTGAAACGGTGAGTATTGGAGCCAAACAGAAGGCGCTACGGAATCTCATCCTTCACGCGTTTGACACGTGCAGATTAGAGAGACGCGCGAAGCAACTTTGAAGTTTCAACATGGTGGAATATTCAGGGGGCCTTAACTGCCACGTGGTAGAAGCATGGTGGTCGCGTCAATTATTAGTCCACATGGCTTGCCAAGTGGACCAACAGAGATTCTTATTCAACAAAATTATGACGTCATCTTTTCTCAATAATTGAGTTCTCATTGTTCTAGTCAAGGAAAAATTGTGTCTAAATGCATGCTCTAGTCTTGTTTTTACTAGGGAAGTTTTATTTGGTGCAATTGAGTTTTTAATATATTTAATTGCATCAATAAATTTGTAACATATTAGATAAATTTTTTTTTTTTTTTTTCATATAGTAAATGATATATAACTTATAAAGTTGAAGCATATACTATTTGAATACATATTTACATGGGTGTACGTCTCTTCAGAAGGAGCGAAAGTACAAAAGAGAAAAGTTAAAAGAAATTTGAGAAACTTATTCATGATTTTGAGGTAGGAAACATTAATTCTAATGTTGCCATGGATATTGGATATGTTATATATGGAATTTCAACACTGATTCATTTCTTATATAAATATGGATACAAAATCTTAAGTTATATATAGGATCTCAATATGTAATAGATATGTGTTTCTTTATACAAATAGGAAAAATTAATAATTGTGTCATCATCCATGTAATCAATTTTATTTACCACATGATTCCTCAAAAACAACTTTTGTATCATATGGAAAATGTAGATTAATTTGATTATTTAATTTTTAATATCTCATGCGAGTTCTAATTGATCAAAAAATTTATTCGATTTTAATTCTTTTAGATTTAAAAATAAAAATAAAACTAAATAATGAAAATTAAATTATATATATATATATATATATCAACAACAAGAATGGTAATTAATCATACTGGCATAACAGCCACCATGTTTTAGTAATATTTTTAGAAGATAATTTTCTTTATCTTTTTTTAATTAGATTTTTCTTTCTTTTAAATTTTTTAATTATATAATTTTAGTTTCTATATAATTATTAGCTAAATATGTAGGAAATTTTTTTTCTTTTTAATTAGATATTTTAAATTTAATTGAATAATAAAACAATTATTACCTGATATAAAATATATGTATCATTTTCTTTCATACACCACAAACAAAGTAATAAAATTATATAAAAACTATTGAATAAAGACTCAATCAAAACTAAATGGTAAGAATATTATGTAAGACAAAATAAATAAGTGAAAATAAAGAAAGAAATAAGTAATAGACCTTAATACCGAAGAAAATGAGTTGATAATATTTGATGATCACAGCTTTATATTTTGTCACCCACTACCTTCATGCTAGAAAATGACATTACCCAATGGAATATATGTGGTTGTTAACTTCTATTCATTTAAAAACAAGTAGAGAATACATATTACCAAAGATAACTAGCGTGCGACGTGTACATATAAAGTTAAAGCATCCCCTATGTTATTTAGAGTTGCTTATCGTCAAAACAATAGTAGAATGCTATTTGTTTATTTCACTATTCACTTTCTTTTTAGATAATTAGGTGAAATATTGAACAAATATTAGCTCACATGAAATAATGAGTTAGAAAGCTATTTTTCAAATTAGAGCATAGATTTTGTGAAAAAAAAAAGAGGAAGAAATTCATCTATGAATAATTGAGGTTGTGAGCTCATGCCAACAAGTACACATGCAATCAAAATGACACTGGTGCTATATGAAGCTCATCTTTGCCTAAATGCATGAAAGTAATATGAAAATTGTAGAAGATTCACTGACTACTTTTCTATACATTATAAAACCAATACTTATGCGTATTTACTCGTCAGATAATACCCGATTGATATAATTGAATTTCATTAATAGTGAACATAGCTTAAAAATTGATTCATCTTGGCAAAAAAACAAAAAAACAAAAGAAGTTAGAGAAATTGTCTTGTTACAAACATAAAGTAGTTTAATACTATATTTCTAATAATAATTTAATAGAAATCATATTTTAATTAATTTTGAATTGAATTACAAAAATAAAAATATAAAGCATACATTCATTTTACAAAATAATTGATTAAAAATGGGAAGAGACAGAAATAATTGAACAGTTGCTGGAATATTATAATGGAGGAAAGAAGCCCCCAGTTGGCGGCCGCACAAACCCAATCAATTTATTAAAAAAAAAAAATAAATAAAAAAATAAATATATAGATTGCATTTATTTAGTGTTTATATAAATTTAAAATAATTTAATTTTAATAAATTAGAATTTATCAACAGTGTATTTCGGTCAAAATGGACGGACGCACGAGTGTCACCTCCACCGGTCATGCCTTCCTTTTCTGTCTCTTTCCTTAAAAACTATTCTTGGGTCCCGACACCAATTAATTTCAAATTATGGATAATGCTTTAATTAAATTTATTTTTTTAATGGAGTTAATAAAATAAAATAGATATTATTATCATAATTTATAATTTTAAAATTAGTTCCCAACGTCATTCTTCGTTTAATTATTGTAAAAAAAAAAAAAAATGAAACTTTATTAAATAAATATATTTTGTTTTTGAGGAAGAAGAGAAGCTAAAATCTTCTGGCCAGGTACCTACCAATTTTATCCAGATCTTCAGACATTTTATAATTTAAAATCAGGACTTCCAAATTAAATACCTTTTTTTTTTTTTGGTTTTAAAATGTTAGTTATGCTTATTATATTATTTTTGAATATATCTTTTTCTTTTAATACTATTTTTAATGAGAACTACAAGAATGTGATGATGAGTCTATGATAAAGAAAATAAAATAATCTATACATAAAGATATCTTTAACCCATTAAAGTTGTGGAGTAAAATATTCTCTAAGGGGATAGAAGGAAGCAGTGGAGATTGCTAAAGAAGTATATGAATTTGAGGAAAAAGTATAAGATGATTGAGACTTTACTTGCCTAAAAATGTGCAATAGCTTGACGATCAATTGTGATGGAATGAGGTATCAAAGAGTCATAATGGATATGGTCCAATTGAATGTAGGATTATGTCTTTTATGTGGTTAAGTTTTGAAATATTATACACAAAATTATGATGGTCTTAGAAGTCTCTTGGACCATATTTAACTATTATTTACAAGTTTTATAATTTTATTACCACTTTATACTTGAGATTGCCATGATTTTTAAGATTATGGATAATTATTATTGTAACAGCCCCAGAAATTCATAATGAAATGTATATTAAAAATATCAAATGCGGAAGCGAAATCAAAATTTGAATAACATCCCTTACACTAAAACCAAAAATGTGCTCATAAAATGTAAAAGATCAAACTACCTAAAGGAGAAACTTGAAAGTAAAAGCTACGAATATGACTATGGAGTCTTTAGGCGTCCCCTTCGTCGTCCTCCTGCGGAACCGGCTCGGGAACGATGTCATCTTGATCTGAAATGATTAAATAAGGAATGAGCTACACTAGTCCAGTAAAGACATCACGATATCTCACCGTCACGGAGGTAAAGGTGGGTAGAAAACACCAAAAAGACCAATGGAGCATAATTTACAACAAATCCTTTTATTAATAATAAAACCTTTACCATTCACTTACCTTGGTGAAATTCATAAAACAATATACGAAAGCAATAACATCATCATCATCATGAAACCATATATATAAACTGTATAACATAATACCTATCAAGATTTTCGTAATTCAATCGTTACACAACATATTTTCTTCATTTACCAGCCCACTAGTATCCATGGGGATCCATAGGGGTCCCGCTACCCGTTAACCCTTAACACTTGAAATCATTTTTCCAGGGCCGTCCCCATACCCCGTCCGGTATGGGCGCCAAAACTATAAACCTCATTACCCCGTCCGGTATGAGGGTGAAACGGGCCGTCCCCATACCCCGTCCGGTATGGGCGCCAAAACACATAAGATCTCCATACCGGCCGAATTCGGCCACACTCGCATTGGTTCCTGCGATAAAACAATCCTACGGCCCTCGGGGGGCCGAAAATTTACGAAAAACCGAAGCTTACTGGCGGCGGTGCTCTCGGGTTCGGCGGCTCTCCGGTGAAGTTCGTGTTTTGATGATTCGGCTCCGATCAACCTGTAGAGAAAAGAATGGTGATCACGGTGGTATAAAAATTGTATTAAACGGAGGCCGGGAAGGGCCTCATCGGAGGCAAAAACCGAGGAGGGGCGCGGCGGCGCCGCTGGCTTTCGGCCGTGTTTTCCGACCGTTTGGCCGGGATTTTGGCTCTGATTTGGCCACTGGGGAAATCAGCGTGGAAAAACGAGTCGGGGGTATGAAATTTACCTCGATCGGCGGTCGAAAATCCCTCCGGTGCGGCGGCGGGTGGCGGCGGCCAGCTTCTGGTTCGTCTTCTCCGGCGAGGGCAGGCGGCTAGGGTTTGGGGTCTGGTGTGGGGGTCTTATTTATACCATTTTTCCTTTTGATCTCAGCCGTCCATTTTGATTTAATCTGGGCCGTCCGTGCGCGCGATTGATCTGGGCCGTCCGATCGCGCGCACGCGGATTGCTAACGTGGCCCGTCCCCGGTCGACGTGGTTTTGCCACATGGCAGGTCCTGGTTGGCCAGGATTGCTGACTGGGTCTGCTGACGTGGCTGCTGACGTGGCACGCGTGTTTTTTTTTTTTTTTTTTTTCTTCTTAAATTTCCCCGGGCGCTACAACTATCTTCCTTTAGAGTATTATGGGAAGATCTAAATTGTAGAAAAGGCGAATGCCATTGAAAATTGATAAGAACATTTGTCCAAAATTAATGGTCATTATGCACTATTTTGTATTTAAATTGACTTAGAAAACCTCTTATGTCTCACACACAAATTCGTAAGTTGTTACTCCTAATAGAGTCTAAGGGTCTCAATGAAGTTCGTTTCCACTATAGTTAGTGTTTTTAGCAAAGATGGATGCTTACATAGTCATTAGAGCCAACTTTTGATTAAAACCATGAATTTTTTTTACATACAGAAGAGGTCTAGAAATCTCAACATAATAGGTCGAGTGCCACCAAAATAAGTTGATTAAAAGATATGTAAGAGACATTTTTGTTATTGCCTTTAGCAAATATGAGAACGAAACATAAATATCCGACGGAAAGGAAGATATAGGATAAGAATATAAATGCATGACAATGAATAACAACATTATATTGGACTTAAAATAATAAATTTTATATTTTTTCTTTTCTTTCAATAAATTATAAAACATCAGTATAAAATTTTCAAAAGTCATATTTTTTAATAAAGATATTGTAGCTTCAATTCTTATCTTCAACATCGTCACACGAGCTACAAAAAATTGAAATAGTCTTCATGGATCAAGATTCTTCTTTTAAAATCATACAAAAATATCCTACAATTAAGAAACTATAAGCTTTTTTTTTTTTTTAAAAATCCATTTTTTTCAATAAATTGTTTCCATTAAGAATCAAACATGTTTTGGGATTATGTGAGTGACTCTCCGATTAAAAAAAATATGGTTAAAAATTTAATTTATTGAGATAAAAATGAAGTTTAAAATCGAACTTAAAACTTCATAAAATTTTTTGACTTGATTATCAAATCAAATGAATATTCTTTTGTAAGGAGAAAAACATAAAAATACAGAATTTGTCATTTAAGTAGATGAATGGATAAACATCAAAACTAAAAGACAAACATTATATGATGTATGTTTACGGCAACAAATATTAATATATTAATTTATAATTATAAGTGCACTAATTACAAGTTAAATAAATATACATGTATATGTATATGTATATATAGGGATATGTGATGGCCTGCGATTAGTAAGACAGCATCATTCAATTGGTTTCGTCAAAATCAACTGTGGTGTGCGCACTTTCCTGAGAGCATCGACCCCACTCTGTTTGTTGTTTTGAAGGTGCATTGCATTGTAAATTAAGTTGATTGATGAAATTGGAAATTTGTCAATTTCATGAAAGCAACATAGCCATGGTTATGCTTGATAATATTTAAACCACTCATTTGTTAGAATTTAATATTCAAATTTTAAGTTTTTTAAGCTTAATTTAATATATAAAAATGTATAGTTACATATCTATAGAAAAATCAAAACTTTATTTTGTTATAAAATTTACCTAATTTATGTTTAAAAAAAAAAAAAAAAATTGCTTTTGAATGCATGTCTTTTGCTTTTCTCCCCGTTTGACATCCTTCATTTGGCTTCACTTTTTCCTGCCTTGAACTCTTTCTTTTCACCCTCTTCCCTTTTACTTTCTCCCTTCTCATAACTCTTGGTAAATCCTTTTGCTATAAACAGTAGGCCACAAAATATCTCAATACTCTTTTCCTTCTTCCTACCTCCCTCTCAATTTTTTTAGCTCTCACTTGCAGCCTCAGATATGAATCTGACAAAACGTAAGTTACTGGCTTTCATATTTTAGATCAAGCTATGAGAGGTTATCCATGAGTGATGAAGTAACAATTCCCATGTTTTCATTCCCGACGATATTGTGAGGGTTGGCCAAGTTTTTAATTTCTCCACAAGTAGTTTTGAACATTCACTTAGCCGGAAATTGTTTTGAAAAGTCTGGACACACGAGATCTTGAGGCAGCAACAGAAGCTTCTATGTCCTTTAATGGGCTTCAATTACTTGAGTTTCTGGTCTAAACTCTTTTTAACATTTATTATATTATTATAACCATATGGATATGCTGAAAATTTTTGGAGCAAATGCCAATACAACGAAAAAGTGCCTTCGCAAAATTAACCCTCTTCCAGAAGTATCAAGTTGCTACTAAATTCTAGAGTAGAAGATACAGGCTAACATACACTAGTATCTGTATATGATTCCAAATAGTGTGTAGGAGTGTGCAACGATAATATTCTGTCCAAATCAAACTCAGGCGCTGCATGTAACCAACAATCATTTTCTGTTCTTGGTGATTTAGAGTTCCTTTTGGGACTACTTATTGGAGCTGAAGAGTGTGATAGAATTCGACTCAAGGAATGTATTTGAGATTTCCTCCTATTTGGGCAGTTTTTTACCTGAACCCGCTTCTGCACTTGCCTTGTCGTCTTCAAGCTCCTTCTCTGGCCAAGCATGGGTCGATAGCTGACTGAATCAACTGGTTTCCACAAGTTATTGGAGACCTGAATATGCGAAACACAAGTTTCTTTCCCTGGCAATCTTATTTGCCTCCTTGATAAAAAGGATTCCTGTAGCCTAGAAGGGACCTGGAGAACAGAGGATAACGAAGCTTAAATTTTCAATATGAATACCATTATTCTAACAATATTCACACAGTTTCCAAGGCAAAAGACACCTAAATAAGACAGAAAGTAATTATCCAGAGAAACAAAATATAACAAAGGAACAAGACATTCATCAATCTACAAGTTTAAAATCATAAGAGATTAATTCACTGCTGCCATTTAGAAACGATGATTAGAAAGTGACAGCTCTCACAAAGGGTCAAAAGTCCTTACTATTTATATATTCATCACAGCTTAAATCTCTCCATACTACTCCAGTATTCTAAATATAGGAAGTGATAGGGGATCAGGTTATAGAAGACAAAAAGAACTCAGAAGATGTTAGCTCAATGCTTACCTATACCCATAAACAAGATGTCTTTCAGATTTGTTAGGCTAGCTATTCTATGGTAGTAGACTTGAGTTTCATGTACTCTTACAGAAAGAAAAAAAAAAAAACACAATTAAATACTAACACTATGTTCTGATAAAAATTAGGGAAGAATAGAGAAGGAAAAGGAAATGATGAAACAAAATGTCTAAATACTCTCTTGTTTAAATAACTCAAAAATTAAAAAGAAAAAAATAAATGAAATGAAAAAATTGTTATACTTTTTTAACTTCACATAGGAAAGAAAAGGATTAATTATAAGAAAATTTCAGTTATACTCCTCATTGATGGAATGTCAGTTGGTTAAGTATTTAAAGAATAAAATAGAAACAAACCAGGTATTCCAAGGATACAATAAAAAATTTTATATTTTA